CTCCAGCAATATTTTACATGATAACAAGTGTATAAAAATTAAAAATAGTATACAAAAATAAAATATGTGGAAGGAAGAAAATGAAGGAAGGATCTAACTGAGCCACTGACATTCTTCAAAGATAGAACACACTCATTTATTAGGCCTAATTGAAACATAGAAATTAAGTCACACATAGAAATCATTGAACTTACCAAGAAGAGAATTCCCCATTCAGATAGAACTTTAACATCGGTGATATTTCTAATCAGACCCAATTGATTAAGCACAACTCCCGCAAAGAAGAAACCTAGAATCTGAAACAACTAAATGAATTAGCAACAGTTGGATATACCAAGTAGAATCGAACCAAAGTTGATTTGCTCATAATCAAAGAATCAGAGACTTCTTAATCAATACAACACATTAACAATTAAATTCACTAGAGTGCACTGTGTCGTACTCATCGTGTTAACAAAGCTGACCAGTCAAGATGAGATTTTGGAGGATTAGAAGTACACACACACACACACACACACCAAATAAGAAAACAAACATGCTATGGTGATTGCATCATTATACTCAGAACTCATTTCAATATGAAATGAGAGATTTGTGGAACAATATAAGATATACTTGTGCGTGTTTCAAGTCCTATGCACAAATACATATATGAATGTGTGTGTGTGAAGAATAAATCCATTATTGTCACAAAACTTTTACCGATAAAGTTAACTTACAGGACTAGCTTTAATCATCTTGAAACCAGGAACCACCAATACTGTTACGGCTAAGAATGTCAGCGTGTCCAAGCCCAAGTCATTGATAACATCAACTGCACTTGCAACATCAAGTGATGCGTGTATCCTCAACCTGGCTATTTTTTTGACATTCATTGACAATGTTGTCCCATTAAAACAGTTTCCTTTGCGGCAAGGGAAATTGTAATTTATCCTGGAATGCATTGAAAGAGATCCGACATGCTCCAAGTGGCCACAAGCGGGTGACACATTGAGATAATGTGAGGATGAGCGGATAGCAAGAGAATTTGTTCTAAATGAATTTGTCCGAAAAATGATGTCACAACCCTGCATTAGTGCAGTTCCAATTCAATGCAATAAAGTACAATGGAAAACAAAACAAAACATGAGATATTACATATCTGCTAAAAGCTACAGAATATGGAGTCTCTTCCATTTTAAGGCTCACGAGCTGAATCAGTGAATCTATATATGACATAATATATTTTGCAGCAAAAAACAGGGATCGCTATCGGATTTTTTAAAAAATTCTCCTCAGATGACCATGAATTCCTTGGAACCACACATTAAATTCTTCCGTCTATCATTCCTCTAAAAATGCAATAAACATTATTCGGCCCCTGTTTGAAGAGAATAAATCCAAGACATCAGGAACATATAATGACGGCCACCAAGTACACAAAAGAGAGTTTCTCAGAAGATACCAGTAAAACCAGCTCATACAAACCACATCAATGATCCTCGTCTAGTGACATGTTCAAACCACAACATCCATGTTGAGGACTCCATAGCAGAATCCACTATTTACTTAAATACATAAAAAGCAACAACAAATCGACATTCTAGCTTCTAAGTCGCGTCCACAAGAAAATCCAAGACTGCAGATAAAACAAACGTAATTGTCCACATAAATAAGCTGTTTTCCCTGAATCAACTAACATGCACCAAAAACAGTGCAGGATAACCATTCCACATAAACTATCACACCTTTCCCTCTAATTTTTTTCTTGGAAACATTACAAATTATCACCGAAAAAAAGCCAAGTGCAAAAGCAATCAAAATTACGACTGATAACATGCAAATAAAAAAAAAAAAAGAACCCAATTTAACTATTCCAAAAATACAAAAAAATCAAGAAATCCTCATGCCCTAATAGCTAAACAAGCAAATACAAATTAATTGGAACTCTTACTCTGCGATTGCTGAAGCAAGTTGCAGCATCCAACATACTGAAGCTGGTGCTCATGAAAGTACGACCGTTGCCCTAACAACCACTGTATAACACATTTAAGAAGATGAAACTATGGAGTCGGAAATTGGTTGCAAATTATCCTGACAGATTTTGAGCTGACGAAATCTCGATGTGAAGGTAGTTTTTAGAGCTGGAGAAGAAGAATGAATAAGAGAGAGCCACACGTTTCAGTTTGGAGCCTTTTGAGTGCAAACTTAAAACAACTTATAAAAAGGTAATAAAAATAATAATATAATTCATATTAATTAAAATAGTTGGGGGGAAAATTTGTTTGTGGCTGTGGAATCATCTTTTTCACTCTAAAAATGAATTATACTCCATATTTTTATAATACTTCATTTTCATCTTAGATTGTGCGAAAAAAAATCACAGCGATCGCACCTTGTTGTGTTGAAAACATAACTTTTTAACTGACAGAATGAAAAACTTAATATATTTATATTTCGGAATGAAAATAGATATTTTCTTCATAAATTATTTGGTTCAAAAGTTAAACTCACTTTTTTAATATATATAAGTCATACTCACTTTTTGCTTTTGGTAACCTAACTTTCTTACTTAGTCAACTATGAATATATGCAAATAAAATTTATGTTCTATGTGTGTTTATGTAAGAGTTGAAATCATAAGTTAGATAATAAGCATAATATATTATATAATTTTTATCATTAATAAATATGAGTGATATAGATGTGAACTTTTTAACTTGTATATTAATCTTTATATTGATTACAATAATGTAATTTGTGCAGTCTTGGTTGATTATGATCAATTAATTAGATAAAAAAATATTAAAATTTGTATTATTATATCAATTGTATACAAAATTTAAGGGGTATGATTATGCCATAAAAGAATAATCAACTAACTTAAAAAATAGCTTAATGAGCTAATAAAAAAATACTATTTTTTAAATAAATAGTTTTAAAAAAAATTCGTAGAATAAAATATCTTTTTAATGTGACTTTATGATTAGTTGGTAATAGCTATTGTTGTAACTAATTTTAAAAACAATTGGGCGACCCAACAAGATCAAACCAAATGTGTGTTGAGCCTGCAAGTCCAAACGAAAGTGGCACAAGAAGAAACATTGACCACGACATTTGTCGACCTCTTCCATCGTCAAACGGCCTCTGGTGCCGATCTCATCATGAGTCTACCTCTAGAAGATTGACGATCTCTCTGTTGTTTGAATATAGAATCGTTAAAGCTGATAAAGTTACCGCCCAATTGCCCAGCCAATCACATCCTCAAAAGTCGAGTTTTGCATTGATACACGTGGCGCAACCCTACGCTCTTAGCTTGCTTATGATATTTATTACATATTTTTCTTGTATAAATCTAGCCATATCGGCTCAAGAAAAATGGAAGAGAAGAGAAAACGAAACCACAATTACACAATTACGATCATCATTGATCCTATGTAATATATCCATAAAATAAATTCCTATTATATCTTTTCGAATAATTCATTCTCCTCGTCAATCTTCACAGTAGATCAACGAAATCGATGTTCTTTTATTTCCTTACTTCATTTCGGTAATCTCTTTTCATTATGTTAAAATTCTCAATAAACTTCACTAATTGTATTAATCCCCTGAATTAGCTGCTTCATAATTACAATTCGTAATCGTTAGCGGTCGACAGCTATTATGTAAGAAATAAAATAAAAAATATAATTACTTGATTGATGAAAATGTAACAAAAAAATAGTGAGAAGACGAAAACAATTGTCATATACATTTTGCAAACAATTATATTTATAAAGAGAGAGATTTTGACATCCAATGTTATGTCCATTAATCATTTTCTATTCGTTCCGTTTACTCCTCAAGTTGAAAAAGATGTTGATGTGGGCAAAATTTTGATAAAAAATTAGAAATTTTTGAGAGAAAGAAACATAAAAAATAAACTGAAATTCACGCCACAATTGAACTTAAAATTCAAATTTAATAGAGGGCTATTGTTGGCCAAATAAAGAGGAACAAAATGGGATATCAACCATCAATTTTGGACAATCGAGGCGCATGAAATCATTGCTTGAATTCTCAAAGGTGTTAGCCATGCATTGGTCAAATTTTGAAATTTTTCGGTGATTCAAAGTTCTTATTTACAATTGGAAGGTACTGTTTGGTTCGTTAAGAAAATAGTTTACTGTGCACATATTTTTCGTAATATTCAAACAAATTTTAATTGCACATTTTTTTCTCCAACGGCAGGCGGCCGTCCTCAAACGAAGGTGGGGCGGTGGTTTGCAGTGACGGCCGATGTTGGAAAGATGGTGGATTAGCTTTTAATTAATATTACTATTAGAATATTGTTTTTTCGCAAACTTTTGATTAAGATTTTCTTAATATTTTACTTACCTTTTTTAGTTAATTATAAAAACTCCAATTGTAGCAGGACAATTTTACTATAAAAGTACATAAAATAAAATAAAATATTATATCAATGTGAAAGTGGATAACGTAATTTGTCGCTTGGCCCACTGGATGTATAAGTGCATCTCCAATGGGATCTTGTCTATTTTAGATAGAATGGCATTAAGAAAGGAGATTAAAAAATTGTATCTCCAATGGTTAATGTTGAAGATGGTTTAATTTGACATGTGCAAAATTTTAATTGGTTGATAAAAACAAAAAAATGGAATAAATAATATAATATATAATAGAAGTTGTCTAGAAGTACTTCTACATCTAGAATGACTTCTAGAATTTTTTTGTGCACATAGTTTTTTTAGTGCCATGTGGCAATAAAATAAGGCTATCCAAAGGCCATTGGAGATGCTCTAATATGCTAACGTTTTCCTATTCCTATTCTTATTCCACCACCGACTTTCGACTATAAAAGCAGCTGCCAAAGCCATTTCTTATTCCTATTCCTGTATTCCACCTCCGACTTTCGACAATAAAAGCAGCTGCCAAAGCCATTTCTTATTCCTATTCCTGTATTCCACCTCCGACTTTCGACAATAAAAGCAGCTGCCAAAGCCATTTCTTGGTCAGTAATGGCGACGGCAGCGGCGAGTGTTTTTTCTGTATCTACACCATCCACCAGCAGATTGAAATTAGATTCTAATGACCTTCGCATTCGTAATCCATCTTATTCTTTCGCGGCTCGTTTTCCTCTTCGGACGAGAATTTTTTGCGACGGCTTGAGGTACAAGGCGGTGATGCCCGTGACGCGTTCGTTCAGATTAAACCCTATATGCAAGGTTGATTCGAGCGTGGAGATCCCATCCAAGAAGTCGAGCCTGTCGGCTTTGGAGATGCTCAAGAGCTCCGCTGCTAGTCGTGAGATTTGCTTGTCTTTTCGTTCGTTTGATTCATTTTTTAATCTGTATTATGAATTTCAGAACATGGGTTTTGGCTTAACTTTTGGACAAAGCGTTTTTTTTTTTTCGATTCATTTTTGTCGCTGGTGTTAATTTCATAGTTCAAGGATTTGATTATTTGATTTTTCTGGAAGTTGGAGAATAATGGTTGTGAAATTCAATTTTATAACGTGTCTTTTTATTTTGATTGAATTGTAAGGTAGCTCGTAATTCTGATGACTTGGTTCAAATATTCAGAGCTGATTACTTGGGTTCAGATTATGCAAGGGACAAAAGAAAATTTGCTGACACTGTTTAAACACTTTTATTAAAATTTTGAGTGTAATTTGATGATATGAGTTGCAACCTTAGAGTTGAGTGAAAGAAGAAGAGAGGGAGTGATTTTGGTTTTAACCAAAAGTTTATTGATGTTCAAGTTAGCATTTCTTTTGGTAGACCGCAAAAAAACTCTTGGAGTGAAGCTCTAATCTAAAGTATACTCGTACATTTCTCCAGGCTATACGAAGGAAAGTAGCAGTATCGTGGTCATAGGGCTTAACTACCACGCAACACCCATTGAGATACGTGAGAAGCTCTCCATCCCGGAAGAACAATGGCCTAAAGCGATTGGTGAACTATGTGATCTGAATCATATAGAAGAAGCTGCCGTTCTCAGCACGTGTAACAGGATGGAAATATATGTTGTGGCTCTATCTCGAAACCGTGGAGTTAAGGAAGTGATGGAATGGATGTCTAAGGTAATATAATTTTCTGCCCTCATTTTTTCATTTTCTCTGCATTTACTCATAAAGGTAATAAGAATCTTATGATTGTGTGATACTCAATAATGAATGATAGAAGTCTCTTTTCAACAGATAAGTTCAGTTCCAGTTACAGAGCTATCCCAATACAGATTCTTGCTCTTCAACAAAGATGCCGCCCAACATCTATTCGAAGTGTCTTCTGGGCTCGACTCCCTTGTCTTGGGAGAAGGCCAAATCCTCTCTCAAGTCAAACAAGTCGTGAAAACCGGGAAAAATGTCCCGGGCTTTTCCCGCACGATCCACGGGCTTTTCAACCACGCCATAACTGTCGGAAAACGCGTTCGGACCGAAACCAACATCTCCACGGGCTCTGTATCCGTCAGCTCGGCCGCAGTCGAGCTCGCCATGTCAAAACTTCCGGAACATTCCAGAAGAATACTAGTCGTGGGGGCCGGCAAGATGGGAAAGCTCGTCATCAAACACTTGGCGGCAAAAGGATGCCGGAAAGTAGTCGTCGTGAATAGAACCGAGGAAAAAGTAGCAGCCTTACGAAACGAGCTCAAAGACATCGAGATCGAGTACAGGCCCTTTTCGGACATTTTACCGTGTGCAGCTGAGTCAGATGTCGTTTTCACATGTACCGCTTTTAAAAGTCTCATCTTTTCAAAGGATGATGTCCGAACGTTTATTGGCCGGAAGCTGTTTGTCGATATATCGGTTCCTCGTAATGTGGGCCCGTGTGTATCGGAAATCGAGGGTGTCCAGCTGTACAATGTGGATGATTTGAAGGAGGTTGTGGCTGCTAATAAGGAGGATCGTGTGAAGAGGGCAATGGAGGCTCGGGATATTATCTTAGAAGAGGTGATGAAGTTTGAGGAGTGGAAGGACTCTCTTGAAACGGTCCCGACTATTAAGAAGCTACGGGCTTACGCCGAGAGGATTCGAGCTTCGGAGCTCGAGAAGTTCGTGTCGAAATTCGGGGATGGGATTACAGAGGCTCAGAAGAAGGCTGCGTACGATTTCAGCATGGGGCTCGTGAACAAGCTGCTTCATGGGCCCATGCAGCATTTGAGATGTGATGGTGATGAAGAGAGGGGTTTGAGTGAGATATTGGAAAATATGCACGCGCTTAATCGGGTGTTTAGCCTGGATACAGAAGTGTCGGTTTTGGAGGAAAAAGTTCGGGCCAAGATTGAGAAAAGCCAGAAAGGAGGTTTGTGAGTTTGTATCTTTTCGCGACCATTTATTTATTTTTTATTTTTTTTATTTTTGTAGGAGATAATCTTCTCCATCGGCTTTTAGAGTTTTCCGAATTGGTTGAGAGCCTTTGTGTAGCTTTTGTATAGGTAAATGGGTGGCCTTGTTCGAAGGGATGTCTGCAAGTCCCCCCTGTTGGCTGTTGTATTTGTTATTTACACGAGATATAGGAAATTAAACTGATGATCATACATACATTTGCATTAACTTGATGAATAAAAGATGCCGATATTTTCAACTCAGCTCCTTGTGTTTTTCAGTAGCCGTTTCAGCAAAGTTGTTAATGAGCCAAGCCGAGTAACTGATACTTGAACTAGGCTCGAGCCTTAGTTCAGCTAGACTGGAAGTTGCTCTACAAGATTAAACTACGAGTTAAGCTTGGGTCGTCTCATAACTTATATCCAGTGGCGAAACTAGATTCCAAATAAAGGGATGGCCGATTTTTACCTTCAAACTATGCTCGAAATTAATTAAAAAGGATAGTCCAGATTTATACCTCCTCTCGAATAGACGAGAAACTAAAAGAATCGAGAAAAATGAAGCCTCGAACGATCGAACTCGCTCTCGACAATTCGCTTATTTTTAATATTTACACATCAACTTCAGGTTCCTCTAAACAAATGCTCGGAGCTCCGAAACACTCAATAAATGGCTCGAATGGCATCGTGCCAATAAGGTCTGCACGTCCCAACTCGTTTTTCAGCAAACCGAAATCTCACGCGACCTTGCGGGGCGGACGTAAACGGCTTTTTATTTATTTTTCTAATTTGTGCACTCCAACTCGAGCTTCTCAAAATAAATGCTCGGGACCTCGAATTGCAAAATAAACACCACGAACGGCTTCTACTATTCTCGTACTTTCTAGAAAGCACTCCCATTAAATTTCGGTGAGCCTAACGAGGGCCGACGGGTTCTCGAAGTCGGGACATGAAAATGATGCTTAAATGACCTTGCTGCCATTTTTCTCGCCGGAAAAAGCCCGTCGGAGTGAACTGTCGGGTTCATATACTCTCGAGAGGAAGCTGTGAACATCGGCCGACGGTTGTCACTGCTGCTATAAGTGAACTCACGGCAAAAGGCTGTCGCTACCACCATTCCCGTCCTCCGTTTGCTGCTCGCAAATTCTCTGGCAGTTTCTGAACAAAACTGCAGTGTCACGCTTTGAAAAATTGAACAGAGCCAGTGGAAGGGCGCCGCCTCCGGCCGGCGACCTCGGCCCCTATACCTATTAAAAAAAAAAAAAAATTATGAGAGGCCCGAGGCCACTCCTTGCCTCTATGTGGTTTCGCCCCTGCTTATATCCAAGCTATAACTCGAGTTTGAACTCAATTTGGCGGGTAAATAAAGCTCGGTATATGCACGAGCTCGAAATCCTCTAACCTTTTTTTTCCACTTACATGTTCTCTTTTGCAATAGTTTCAAGGGTTAGCACTTGAATTTGCAAAATCATACTTTTCGAGCTTGTTGAGCTACTCATGAGCCTGGGTACCTGATCAGGTGTTTCTTGAGCTTAAGCTCAATTATGAATGGATTAAACTCACGATCAATTCGTTTCTATTAAAATCATAACTATTTTGTTTTATCCCTTTTACTTCTGAAGAAAGGTGCTTCATGTAATTTTTGTGCAAAATTCATATTGTGAAAAGGCAAAAATATAATTCCAGATTTTAGAAAATCGCAAGAAAAAGATATTTNAAAAATAGAAGGTTGAAATAAAATCCGCGAATGAGTGAAATATTTTTGGAATTGTAAAAATATATATGAGTAAAATATAATAATTGAATTTAATGTGAAATAATAAAACAATGAAAGCGAGTAACTAATAAAAGTCTAGTATATGTGAGTTGATGGGTACTTAATTTATTGAAAATTGTAAAATAATAATTGATTTTCATTATTCAAGTGTACTGATGAATTAAAGTGAAAAAATAATAGAAAAAGATATTTTCAATCTTAGTTCCGCTAAAAAAAATTATTCAACGAAACAAAAACATAATTAATTTATATTCATGAATTTATAACCCAACTCTTCTTCTTCTTATGCGGTTAATTAATAACTAGTGTGTGGCCCGTGTCATGTACGGGAAAATAATATTACGATTGTATTATAAATTAAATATATAAATAACATTAATCATGATTTATCCATTGTTTTTAAATTAAATCGGGTTAGACACAGTCCGACCGGATGGACCGAGAACTGGTTTATAACCAGTCTAGTTGGCTTGAATAAAATATTTGCTCTCGAATCCGTCAACACCAGTCGGTTGGACTGGTAGGATCGATACGATTTTCAACATAAATTTTGTTATATTTAAAACTATTTTAAATAAAATAGAGATTTATAAATTAATTATCTATTAGTTTAAATTGTTTAGATATCTAAGTAACACATTTTATTTAAATTTATTACAAAAAGTACTATACACACACACACACACACACACACACATATATATATATATATATATTAAATTAAAATTTGAATAAACCACAAATGATTTAATAAAATAGCTTGATCGTTTCGATGACGGTCCAGTTCTTAAAACCTTATATTTACTGTACATTAATAAATACTATTTAATTCACATAAATATTAAAAAAATGATATATAAATATTCATAAATCATTAAACATGTTGTCATAAAAGTATTGTTAATACGATTATTTGAAGTTTGGACTACATCATATTCACGTAATAAAATATTTTCAATATAAAATTTATATTTAGGTTCAATGATCGATTTGGTGTGGTCGAACTGATACATAACTTAGTCACTTATGACGAACCAAGTTGTGTCAAGTTTGTTTACTATTTTAAATATTAACTAAAAGTAATTCAATCAACATGGACAGTACCCTAATTCATCATCCGATTGATCTAAAGAAATTTTCTTATTTTCTTTAAATATATTTAATTTTATGAAATAAAATTTTTTTATGATTCATATAATAAATGTTTACACCAAATGATTGTATATTAAGATTATAAATTATATATCTAAAGATGAATTCATTATTTTTACTTTACGCATATTAATAAAAAATAAACATAGTAATTTTCAAAAAATTAAAATTAATTGATTGATTATGTAATTTAAAGAATATTTTTAGCGTTCAATATTTTTTTTAAAGGCACAAATATAAAGACCGAGATTCTAAAAATTTTGTTATATTTTGAATTGATTTTATAAATATAGAGACAAAGATTTTAATGTTGTTCGTTGTTTCTAAGAAAAAAATAAAAATAAAAACATACACACTTAATAAATCTTAACCGGATTTTTTTAAATAAAAAAAAATGAACTAAAGCCCGAAATTTAAGGCAACATTTAATATTGTATGATTTTTAAAGAAAAAAATAAAAAAACTTACTATTTATAAGCTGCATTAAATTCTGACTTAATCTTTTGCTATTATTTTTAGTAAATGGTAATTCTTATTATATATATAGATATAGATATAGATTACGGTTTACATAGCACTAAAGTAGGGGTAATTTTGGAAACGCACTTCATGGAAGCGTCCTACTTAAGGAAGCCGAATTAGCCTGGTAACTCCCATTCTTGCTGCCAGGCGCCAGCCACTGCCGCTTTCTGTATCATCTTCATCATTCATTGGGTATGATTTTTAAGTTTTTTAAGATTTTGGGCCCATTCGATTCAACGTTTTCAGAGGTTTGGCTGTATTTTGGTGCTCAATTATGGTGTAATTTTTCCATCTTCATTTGTTTCCTTCCACTGGTGTGTTCTTCCGATGGCAAATAAAATTAAGTGGTCGGCTTTTATAGTTTTCGCTTGAAACCGATGTTTCTTTGTCCGTTTGAGATTCGATTGGATGTTATATTCTGGTTTCTTGATTTTTGGACTTTTTCGATTTAATTTAACTGATTGTAGACGCCTGTGCTAGTTGTGGGATTTGTTTTTGGTTTTATTTTTCATCGTTCGGCTTGGGTGAAAGATTTTTGAATGTCTGTTGTAATATTAATGAGTGAAACATCATAGGATCAATCATAATATTGACGAATATGATATAAGTAGCATTTTAATGATCTCCGTGTGTAGTTTTGGTTCCATTAATAGCTGTCCTGGGCAGTGCATTATTAGGTTAATTTCGCTTATGGCTTGACTTTGTCTATTTGAATGTTGTACCATGTTTGGAAATCATGAATGTTTTGGTGGATTATATGTTCTTTAGTTTTTACTCCGCTGACAGAGGAATTGAACCATATAAACTGACATGTATGCTATGGCTCTTATCTGCAACGTTTTTGCATTGCAATTGCAAGAATTGGTCTGGCCTTCATGGTTTATTGGATTTTATTGGTGGAATCTTAGTAGTAGCCGCTCCTTTTACTTAGTTGATTTTACATTACATGGGGTTTGAGCAATGAAACTAGGTACCAAATAGATGTTTCCAATAGAACGGCAATTTGGAACACATCAGATGAATTGGGAAAGGAGATTGTTTACATGGTGCATACTATGGCTAGACTAGAGCATTAGTCCTTGTTATAGATTTCAATGGCAAATGCTATAATACGGGATTGTTGTCATGTACTGTTGTTGCCAGTTTCTATCTCTAACGTAAACATTTGCTTCTGAGTTTTGGTGTGGGGCTGTGCTCACGGTATTTGATAACTAAATGCATATGTAAGGCCAACAACAGTGCATGGCAATACTTTAAATAACGTATGAGAAGTTCTTTGATTTTATGTATTATAAAGACACTAATGCTCTACTCTAGCCATTAAAAAAAGGGGTATCGGCAAAAGTCTTAAGCTTTCATGAATTTCTTTGGCTCGTTAAAACATAAGTAACTGCAATTGAACCGTCAGCTAGTTTGGGGATTAATACGTACATGTTACAGTATGAAGAGAATACTATGGAAATGGAATTGGAATAGAAAAGGAGATAATCTGTCTGGTTATTGATGGAAAATTCTTCGTAGCAATTGAAGTCATTCACATGGTTTCAGTGGCTGCGCTTTCCAATTTGTTGGTTGTGAGAGCTTGTCCTGGCAATAAATCTATATCTATCTGTCATGTTAGGTTTATATATCCGAAGTTGGTGGAGAAAATCTGTGCGATTATCAAACTCAATATCTCTGTATAAAAAATCGTCTGTACTTTGATCGTTTCGCACTTTCATATGTTATAGCATTAGTAGGAACTCAGATAGATGAAATTATACCAATTGTAGTAGGCGTGATAAAATTCGGTCATCTATTTAGTTAATAC